CAAACTATTCCCATTTTTTTCCATATGCTGAGTAACTTTCGCAGTAAGATTTATCATTTCACAAGCTTAATGGGAAGAGGGAGAGCTTTTAGTCAAGGTAAGATTGACTGGGGACATTCTAAATCAATTTTATTTTGGAGAAAAGTCTTTGCTACTTGCACTGATTAATCTAAGTTACAATTACAAGGTTTATCAAATGCGCCGAAAGGAAAATTCCAGTAAAACTACTAAGTAGTAAATATGTAATTTTAAATATAGTAATTTTACTGGAATTTTTGTTTTTAAAAATTAATTTTCTTGACATAAAAAACTCGAGAAGGAATCTGTATAGTTAGACGCCAGCAACAATATTCGATTTAAGATTCCGAAACACTTTAAATTTATTAAAATATCGCCCATAATCTCATTAATCATCTCATTCATAAGCCTTACTCTAAAGAAGGTTACCAGCGATCAAACTGCAAAGTCAAAAGATCACAGCTCTATGCAGGTTTTCCTTTTGATCTGTCAATTCCCTTATAATAATCTATATAATATTTGGTCGATCTGTTCAACAAAGAAGGGAGTTGAGTTGCGCTGAATATATGCCAGAAATTCAGACAGCAATACTAATATACTCTTTTGCACTTGGTGAACGAGCAGAGAGAATCTTTAAAGCTTCGATAAATAGTTTTTCACTTCACAAGTTTCTGTCCTTTACCCAAAGTTTCTCTCGCTTTTCCAGCCACCTCATCACATCATAATTTCACACAAAAAACTGTAAAAGATTTTGCAGCATCCGCTTTGCTGTTTAGCAAAGGTCTCTCTTGACTTTTTTGCCAACACCAATTTTATATGCAGTTTGCAGCGTTTTCTCCTCTAATTTTCTTTTACTACCTTTTTTGCTTATGATTTCACTTTGTTTTCACACCTTAACTCAGCTTTGTGCTGTTGCTTTTATGGCACTGAAACTTGTTTGGCACGCATTGTAGCAGTTGAGCTATCCAACGTCCTGTTTAATGAACTCTTTTTATACCCTGATCCCATTAAAAATGGGAAATCAGGGTATAATGGTTTTGTGCAAATGTATGTAACAGGCAGAAGGAGGCGTGGCAGACCCCATAAAGTATATATATTCTTGATCAGGACGACAAGCCGAGTCGATTGAGCCCTGTCCGTCTGTCTGTCTGTCCGTCTGTCCGTCTGTCCGTCTGTCCGTCTGTCCGTCTGTCCGTCTGTCCGTATGTGTGAACGCGTGGATCTCAGCATCTATAAGAGCTAGAGACTTGAAATTTTTTTTGTAGGTCCGTGTATAGCACGCGCAGGTCAAGTTTGTTTCAAATATTCGATAACTATTCGCATTTAATTGTTATCGAATAAAAACATTATTGAAATGCAGTAAATAAATTATATCTCGAACGTCTTAAGAGCTAGAGCCTCCAAATTTTGTATTTAGTGTTATGTATATTTTATGCAATTTTGATTTTTGTTGGATTTTGGATACCGGCTCCAAATTCCCCCAAATTCTTAGAATTTAAGTTTAGTTGGAACTAGGGCCATTATGTGAAGGCGTTTGCATCTCAACCAAGCCAATAGGATATGTAGATCATATGCTGAAAATTTCATTAAAATCCATTAAGTAAAACAGAAGTTATTAAACAAAACGTTTGGCCAATTTGCAAAAGCACATGTCAGCAGCGCCACGCGCACGCATTTTTCCTATGCGTGTGCACACATACATTCAAATGCGTGTATACTTTTCTATTCCAAGAATTGAAATTGCGATTGAATTGTGCTGAATTATTAGCTGCTACTTATGTTCAAATTTGCAACAGCTCGCGTAAGAAGGGCAGTGGCTGCGTTGGTAGAGGCACCTCTCGGATGCAGCTTGGTCCGGGTTCGAGACCAGAGGAGATGAAATGTTTTTTATTGTTTTATATTATTTATTTATTTTTTTTTTTTAGTTATGAAGTGGCGGTGTTGGTAGAGTTTGTGCACGTTGCGCAAATAATCCGGGTTCGAATCCTGGTCTCGCAATGTCGATTTTTATTTGTTTTCTTTTTTTTTTAATACTCGATACAAACTACGGAAAATATTACAAAACTCAAAGGACTGGGATCAGGGTATCTCCTAGTCGGGCACCCCGACTAGAGCTTTCTTACTTGTTTAATTTGAATTTCATCAATTCATCGGAGCATGCATATTACGTTAGCTAATGTCCGATGATATAGTCTGGGTCTAGTGCTGTCGTCGTGCAGAGTTTTGCTGCCTTTGCTATCATCGCATCGATTGCTTTTCAATTTTCATTTGCGATGCACAACTAATTGCAGTAGCTCGAACTGCTTATCTTATCTATCCGAGGCGAGTGCTTTATATATCTCATATAGCATATCGCTGGCAATGCCACCTGCCGAGTGCCACGTGCCAGCTATCTGCCCTTCGAGTCTCGTTTGTATAGATCGGTTTAAAGGTCTCGTCGTAATTAATTGCAAAACTTTTCGCATTGCAGGGCGAAAAATTTGAAAAGTTTGCTGCTGCAGCTTTGGATATCTCATTAACAGTTTGCGGCTCTGCGGCCATTGAACAAACGATGAGTGCTTAACCCACCTGCATGACTGTCAAATATCATGGATAAGTACCTGATGGAATGGTAGCTCAAGAGCAGAGCAAAGACAGAGACAAATTGCATGGAGAGCATAATTTATTTTCCCAATTAAATCAGCCATCGGAAAGCCTAAGATACAGATTAATTTTTTTATATAAAATCCATCGATTTAAGTCTAATGAAAACCGAAGGCTTTCCACAAAAGCCGCAGACCAATTTGTGATTCTGTTTCTCAGCTTTTAATTTGTCTTGCCCAACATCCTTTCACCTCGGCATTCGTTTGACTTGGTTAGAAATTTTTGTCACTTGCTTTTTTTCCGTTTGAATATTTGCCGGGTGTCTGGAGCTTGTGGCAAGAGGCAGCGAGGTTGGCGCCGCTTCCATCAAATTATACGAATTTGCTATGCACTTTGTCTGGCCGAATTTGAGGGCAGAAATTTTGGCAGCTGGCTCTCTAACCATAAACCTTTAGCTTTTGGTGCCTATTTTCCGACGTAATAATCTTTATATAGTATATGTTGGGTTGCTTAAAGGGCATGGAAACGAGTGAAGTGGGTGCACATATAGATATCTTTCAGCATCTTTTATATTCCTTCCACAGTTAGCTTTAAAATTCTTTGACTATTTCGTTTTTTCCTATGCCCTGTGCTGCCTAGCATCTGAATAGGGGGTATATGCAAGTCAGGCATATACTCTTACATCTTAATAACTCTATCTTTATATATATATTTAAGTCTTTGCTATAATTTGTTAGCTCTATCTGAGTCTAGACTGCATTTCTGTTGAGCCTAGGGTAACTGCTAGTCATGCATATTCATCAATTGAATTCTTTTTATCACATCATTTGCACTGAAATGTTAATGTCTGTTGTTTCCTTTTCTCGTTTCCTAAGGTTCCATGTATGTCCTGGCTCAAAAAGCATTTCCAAATGGCAGCCAGTCAGCCGTAATGGAAGGAAACTGTTTGGTTGCAATGTCCTCTCGTGTGTGCTGGTGTCGATTGTCGGAAATGGGTGTGGGAGTGGGTGTGGGAGTGGCCGAGGTGTCTTTGACTTGACGTTAAAAGAAATCTGTCTGACAAATTACATGCGTAGCAGCTGCTCAATGCTTCGTCCTTTGGCCAAGTCGTCCTTTCTTGCCGCTGCTGCTGCTCCACATTTGACTCAACCAACAATCATCAACCAAATGCGCGTCACTCACCCCGTCAGTCTCTCAGTCTTGCTGTCTGTACGTCAAAGGGAGTGCAACGACCTTCTAGCTGAATGTTGCTACGTTTGGCAAATGGCTTTAGTTTTTTTACAACAGCGGCTCAATGGGCTGTACCTTGACTTATTTGGCTGATAAAAGTGTCTGCGACATGATTATGGCAAATCATCTTTTGCTGGACTTGGTTAATAAGCTAAAGGTGACCCATGACATTGGCTACATTTATTTGCTTACATTTTTGTATGGCTATAAAAAAAGCTTAAAAATGTCCAAAATAATACAGCAAAATAAATAAATGAAATTAATTAAATAAAATACAAAATGATTAATTTGAAAAAAAGATCAAATTTAAAAAAAAAAATATTTTTCAAAAATATTTCGAATTGTTTGCAAAAAAATTTTATTATATACAATAGAAAAAAATTTTCAATTTTTTTTAGTTTTTATTTTAAAAAATGTTTTTAAATTTTTTAAAACTTTTTTAATTTTATATAAAAAATTATGTTTTTTTATAGTTATTAAAAAACGACCATAAATAATTAAGTAATAATTTATATTACTATATTATATAAATTTATATTAATATAAATAAATTAAATATAATACACAAATATTTATTTAAAAAGAGATCAAATTAAAAAAAAATATTAAGTAGAAAAACCTTTTTTAAAAATGAATTAAATTATGAAATTTCCGCTTTAGATCTATTTTTCAAATTAATACTATAGCTATAAATAATTCTATACCTTTAAATAATTTCGATATTTTTGTTTGAATATTAAACTTGTTTTTGGTAAATCAGAAATTGGTGCTGATTTAAACTTGATCTGAATTTCGGTTCGGAATTTCTTCATTTTGTGTAAAAATAGACTTCAAAAGACAACATAAGATACAAAATTGTAAAAACTTAAGCCATTTGCTGATTTTTGGAACGACTTTTCGGCTTTTTAAGCTCCGTCCAGCTATATTCCAGTCACACTCAATTGGCACTTCATCAACTTGGAAGTGACTTACCCTCGCATGCAACAGTTATAAATGATTATGCGTACAAATTGTAGCTATCTTGATAAATTCGCATGCAGAGGACATGGCAGAGCAGGACATGACAGGACCCTTCGAAAATGGCATTTCTTCTTTTATTGTATGGCCAATTCGTGAGTGCTATACACACTGAGACACAAATGTATCTCAGAAATGTATCTAATGCTTACCATTGTTATGCGACGCCAGTTGCCGCCTTGGCACACGGCCCATCCTTGACTGCGGTGCGCACAATTTCCAAACGGCACGCACTTTTTGCCCCGTTGTTTCGAGGTTTTCAAAATATTTGGCAAACGTTTCTGCGATTTCTCGAATTTCACGAATTTCTCTGTTATTTTTCACTGTCTGAATTATTTGTGTTGCTGCCTGCGGCCGACTGCCTGCAGAATTATTTGTTTATTTACGCTGCGTTCTGCTAATTTGAGTTAACGCTGCCAGCGTCGCTGTCGCCGTCAGAGTACCGTTGGATTTACGCACTGTTGCTTTGGTTCGCTTTTCTAGTTTCGCTTATCGCTTATACGCTGCTGCGATTGCCAATGACAACTGCACGTTTCAGCTTTGTTTTGCATACTGCGCGCCGCAGTCGCCGGCGAATGTTGTTGTGGTGCATGCGACGCCCCCGACTGCAAAACTGCTGCCCCGACGCAAGCCTCGTGTGTTCACTCGGCAAATTGGCTAACTGTTCATGCTCGTATGTTTTTCATCTGTTCGTTTCGTATTCGCTTTCTTCTCATAACGAACTGCATGCATGTCTCACATTGCAATTGCACTGAGAAAAATAGTATAGCTAGTATTTTGGTATATCAAATAATTAATGATATGTTATATTTCTTTTATAGTAAACTATATGAAAACTGGAAAGCACTGAAGAATATCTTTAATTAAACAGGGCCGCTTAACGAATTATTATTTATTATATAAAAACTATTTTTTATTAATATTTGTACGATATTTATATAATCTATAAATAAAAATAATATATCTATAAATATAAATTGGGAAATTGAAGCTTCAAAAAGTCGTTGATATATATCTTTATATACGAGTTTTTTTTTTTAGATTCCATGACTAAATTAAGTAGTTAGCTCCAATTTGGCCAGATAGGCGGACACACAGCAAACATATATTACACATAATTCAGATACTCTATAAGAATACATATATTATAATATTCATTTTTTTTTCAAATTAATTTTTGTCAGTGCTTATACAATTATTAAGAAATGTCACAGACGGGCTGCTCTATATCTTGCTCGCTATCCTGCTGTCTCTCTCATTGTCATATGTTTGAGCTGCGGCTCTCTTATACTCACTAGATTATAAGTACTATTTTTGCCGGCAAACTTTCACTTTCACCGTCGTCTGCTTAGCTACTGCTAACTTAACAGCCAACTGTTAAAGGCTAACAGTACTGTTAGAGGGTGCCTAGGACATTTGTTGATTGCACGCTGATTAAATGACAAATTGATTTGGTTTACAAGCGATTGCCTCCAGCTGTGGGACTCATTAGGCTAATTAAACAGGTGGGAAATAGATAGCAAATATTAATTTCTAATCGAAAATCATATTCGATTTACATGAAGTGTGGTAAATATGTAACATGAAACTATACATTTTTGAGAACTTAAGATATTTTTAAATATATAACTTTACTTTATTACAGTTAAGCCTTTGAGGAAATGTTTGAGGTAGAAATTCTTAGAATGAATGCGATTATTTTAGCTCATAGCTCTATTATGTGCAATTGAAATTTCCTAGAAGATATTTGTACGTATGATTCTTCATCTGCTTTATTAAAGGTAACAATTTCATGAATTTGGCCTATTGCCAAAAAAAAAACTTGAAAGTAATTGAATTCTCAAATTTATCTCATGCTGTATTTGGCCAACTTTTTTTGTTGTTGCAAATATTTCCATGCAATAATTTCCATGTGCAACAAAAGGATTCTTTGCTGGGAATAGAAAGTTTAACTAAGACATCAGCTGTAAAGCAGAAAAGTAGAAAACAGAAATACAGCACTAGACAAATTCTAAGCAGATTCAAAAGAGAGAGACAGAGAGAGAGAGAGAGAGAGAGAGAGCGAGAATAGAGGATGCTGAGATATGGCAACTGTGTCCTTTGAACTGCGCCTTAGCTCGCCTTTTGAGCAAAACTTTTAATCCTTCTGGCTGAACTTCCGTCACTCTCTCTGTCTGTCTCACTCATATTTCTGTTATTTCGCTCTCCAACTGCTGCTGCTGCTGCTGCATTTCTATATTTTGAAATCCTTTAACGCTGACACTGAAAAGTGCTTAGAGTGCAGACTAGCTGAGCTGTTTATTGTGTTTACAATGCTCGCTCGACGCTAGGGGCAGGGGACGGCAGCCCGGACGGGTTTTAGCCAAGTTGCTGTGAAATTCAGCAAAAACTTTAATTAAATAAAAGCCACATTTGTTGATAAATTGTTTGTAGTCTGATCAAAATTCAATTAAAACTTTATTTTTAATTTCCTTAAAATTGTTTACAGAATTTAAAGCAAATTTCAGCGGCGCTCATTGGCCCCATTTACAGGGTATTCTTAGTTTTGAATCTGTTAAAGTTGCTCGCCTTTAAGCAGCCCATTTTAAATTATGTAAAACACAAAAAATTCAAATATTGTTCGGCTCCAGAAAAGTTGCCGATATTTGGCAAAAGTTTTCGTTGTGGCTATGCAGAATGGATGTCTGGCAATGCAGACTAGGCGTATGCTAAACGTCTTTTTACCACTTTGTTCTACATATATATTTGGCCAGTTTTTATGCTCGTTCATAGAGTCAAAGAAGTATATTGGCTGCAGCTAAAGTTCGTCTATCTGTAAATGGGTTGGAGACTTTAGGAGTTTTGAATATACACTTGGGAAGATAAGCATGAATTAAATCATATAGTAGATATATCTTTGCCCTTAGAGGAGTCTTAAATGGGAATTGAGGGTATTTATACTTTATAGTTTTACTGTTATAAACTAAAAATTTGATAAAACTGTTACTATGGGATTCCAGTCCTGATTTATTGATTATATATAATATAATTACTTATATACCACTTTGGAAACTTGGACTATATATATTTTTATATATACATATATATATATATATTATCCACTTTATCTTCCACAGAGTGATAACTACTTTTAAGTTACTGTGGAGCTCTGCTTAAGATTGATAGATCCATGATATATATAGAAATAATTCTCATCAGATTTAGCGAAGATAAAAAACTATTGACCTCCAGAGCAGATGGGGCCATAAATTCTATAATCCGCCCATTGAGTTATGGCCAAGATATGAATTTTTGAGCAATTGCTTCTCTAACACAAGCGAGCATTGTGCAGTCTACACTGGGTCAGGCCGCACTGAGTCTAACTTCTTTGCATTTGAGTGCTGTGGGCAAGTGTCTGCCGAAAAAGTTTTGGACAAGTTTTATGGTAAATTAAATTTAGCAAACGAACCCAAAACAGCCAAAGTTGAACTTAAAGAACTTTGCGACTAAAGCTGCATCAATAGAACTCGATGATTTGCCAGCATCTTGGCATAAACACATAATTAAGTTAAAATAGAAACTATTTATAAAATGCTCTGCGATTGTTGGCAATGATTTTCGATCGATTGAATTTCGCTTTGTAAACAAGTTGTAATTAAATCAAATTTTAGTAAATGTTTTTGGGTCGCTGTGAATGTGTAAATTACTTTACAGCTTTCATTTCATTAAGCTTAATTTTTACTGCCAATTTTTGGTTTTTTTAATATTATTATTAAATGCACATAAATTTCAGCTGATAGCGAGAAAATACATAAATGTTGGCCACATAATAAATGCGAGAAAATAATTACGCCTCGTCGTACATTAATTAATAGCTGGCAACACTTTTTTTGGGGGCAGACATTAAAAACAATATTAGAAAAAAATTTATAACGGCTGCGCACAACTGCTAGATGCTCGCTCAGTTCACAAAAATTGTTTATAGAAAATATTGAAATTTTCGAATATTTATAAGCGAATGAGGCCAGCTAAGATTTGCCCAGACAACTTGTTGATTCGAGCAGACTAAACTCACACACGGCTTCCTCTAGCTATGAAGTATATATATGTATATATATATTCGATTGTCGCGCCTCTAAGAATAATTAGTGTATAATGCTCTGGCAAATCACTTAAAGGTTTCAGTAGTAATTCAGCTGCCAATCCTATGACTTCTGCTAGCTGTAGACTTGATATACTTTTTGCATTTGCCAAATTCCCAAACGGAAGTGGGAATATCTTATGATGTTGAGTTGGGAAAAAATATGAATGTCTGATATATATGTATATCTAGCGAACTAGTTAAAATAGTTTTGTAATTTTAGTTGAATAATCTGTAGAAATTCCTTTTCTTTTAGCCGCGCCTCAAAACAGACTTAGCCCAATAGCCTTAACTTGTTAGTAGATCTTGTTCTATATGGATATAATCTTAATGTCAAGTCTTTAGCAGTAATAGAGCACATATTGCTGTAGGACTTTATAGAACTTTTAGTTATTCCTAATTAGCTACTTTTGCTACTTGATGCTTGATATATAAAGCAGATACTAAAATTTTTAAGTACTTGTTAAGGCAATTTAACTGCATGTAAGACTAGGATATACTAGCACACATAAGACTATACATATTAGGTTAAATAAATATCTATATATATTCAAAATTACATCTATCTAGCAACAGATACGAAGGTGCCAATATACTCACCTCACGCATTGAGCGCGTATCTGGCACGATTTATATATGTATATATATATAACCATATATTCACTAGGTGTTTAGCGTGTTTATTTTCACAACAATTTATGGCGACAGCTGGTAATTAAATCATGAGTTTTATAAATTGAGCTGCATAAACATTAATTAGGCATGCAAATCATCGAAAATACAATGAAATCAATGAAAGCGAGCGGCTTTTATGTGCGCAGTAATTTAGATGCATTAGCAAATTTGAGAGTCTCTTCGGCTGTCAATCAAAGCTGTGACACGTTGTCACCCGTTAGCGAGATGCAGATGCAGATGCGGCTGCAGCTGCAAATGGAGACGGCGATGAGGCCGATGAGGCCTCTGAGATGGATGTGTGTGCGAGTTGGCTAGCAGGCTGGCTAGCTGGCTGGCTGGCTGGCTGTCAAAAATGATTGACATGCACAAGTGAATGCTGCTGTTTTTGCCAAATGAATGTTGACCGAATTGGGATCGAGCTGCGCGGCAGCAAGGGGCAGTTGACCATAAGCACGCCCACCCGGGCAAACGTCAAATGATTTGCATTTCACCGCGCCACATGCACATCTCACTTTTTTGCTAGCTCGGTTCATTGGACTCGCCGTCCCAGCACTTGGCCGAATGTTTTATTTAAGTGCCTGCGGATATGTTGTGGACCGTTGGCCACATTGTGCAAATATTCGGGCTACTTGTTTGCCCAGAAGTCTGGCAATTGTCGTGCCATTCGCCGTCAACTCAGCTCAACTCAACTCAACTTGCGCGCCGCCATAATAAATTCATCCAGAGTTCCATTCGCCAGCGGATG